TTTTTTTTTTTTTTTTTTTTTTTTTTTTTTTTTTTTTCTTTTTTTTCTCCATTTCGTGATTTGATGCCATCTTGTTCTTACTATTCACAGCCGTCGTTTCTCGTTGGTGACCAACGTTGTGTTGTGGAACAAACAATTCATAGAAACTATTTTTAATTGCATTGATTGAATAGCTAAATAACAAAATTCGAAAAGTGGCAGTTGGTTTGGGGGAGGGGGGGGGGACTGCTCCAAAATTCACGCGGTGGTTCTGTTGACGTGGTTCTGTTGAGGTGGTTCTGTTGGCGTGGTTCTGTTGAGGTGGTTCTGTTGAGGTGGTTCTGTTGGTGTTGTTCAGTTGTCACTTCCTTTCTACTCCTCGTTACTTTGTTTTTTTCTGGTTTTAGCGCCCTCTCCTATATTTTTTTCTGTTTTAGGTAGGATATGTATATTGATATTATGTAAATTTAATGTTTACTTACTTAAATGTGTTTTGTTTTTTGTACTGATGAAGGCACGTGCCGAAACGTTTAATTGTGTATAATGTATAATTATTATTAAAGCGTAACTTATATTGTTATATTGACACAAATTGTTCGTGTCTTATTAATCTGGTTCTGTTGATGTGGTTCTGTTGAGTGGTTATGTTGATGTGATTCTGTTGATGTGGTTCTGTTGAAGACTAAACAATACTGCGTTGTGACAATTTGGTTCAAGAGACTAAACAATAATGCCTTATGATAATTCGGTTAACTTTGAGCGGTTTCGTTCCATAAGTTTTGTGAAAGCTGTTTCTTTTACTGTCCGGGCGCCGTCGGCCCTTGTGGTGAGCGCTAAGCAGCTAAGCCCTGCATAGTATATATATAATACAGCGGTTTATATATGTACAGGCGTATATAGGTCCTTAAGTCTGACAAGCGGGCAATGACGAATTAAGAAGTTGTTGATAGGGTGGTTCATCCCGGCGCGAAATTGTGTTCCTTATATTAAAGGGCGGCATTTTCGGCCAACTACAGAGTTCTTTTTGTGGAGGGGGGGGGGGGGGCAAAAAACTTAAAAACTTGGCCTACATCTTCTTGATGTATGTTCTCTATACACTTCCATCCCCCCCACTGACGGTCTCTTAGCTCTCAAATTCTTTCTCGAGACTAGACCCCACCCATCTATACCCACCAACACCCTCCTCAGATTGGCTGAACTAGTCCTCACCCTCAATTCGTTTGAGTTTGGTGGCCAATTCTTCGACCAAATCAGTGGTGTTGCTATGGGGACTAAAATGGGACCCAGCTATGCTTGCTTGTTCATGGGGCATTTCGAACACTTGGTCGAAAGCAGCTATACTGGACGTCTCCCTGAATTCTATAAGAGGTACATAGATGATGGTATAGGGGTCACCACTATGGAGAGGAGTGAACTTGACCTGTTCATTAACTTTGTAGGCTCCTTTCACCCCTCCATTAAATTCACATCTCTTATCTCTGAGACCTCAGTCAATTTCTTAGACATTACAGTCACTCTTCACAAAGACACCCTACACACCTCTGCCTACTTTAAGCCCACTGACAGCCATAGCTATCTACTCTACTCTTCATCCCACCCTAAATCCTGTAAGGACTCTATTCCTTTCTCTCAATTACTTCGTCTTCGTCGACTTTGTCGGTCGGATGAGGACTTTTGGGACAAGGCACTTGAAATGATAGACTTTTTCCGGTGTAGGTCTTACCCGGAGACAGTACTTTCATCAGCCCTCCAAAGGGTTAAGAATATTACACGTGCTGATGCCTTCAGACCACGTCTGAGCGACAATGTTGACAGGACAAAACTCATTTTAACTTATCACCCTCACAATCTGATTGCTAAACGTGTTTTCCTTAAACATCGATCTATACTACTCGCAGACACCGACACACGAGAAATTTTCTCTTCCCCACCTCTCATTGTTTTCAGACGGGATAAAAATCTGAGAGACCTGCTTGTACGCAGTCGTATCAATGCTCCCCCCTCCCACTTTGGGACCAAGCCGTGTGGACGCAGTCGTTGCAACACGTGCCCTTTTGTCGTCCAGACTGAACGCATACGTTTCCCCAAGGGCAGTTTTCAGATACGCGACGGTTTCCTCTGTACAAGCCGCAACGTTATCTACGCCATTGTCTGCACCCGCTGTCAGATGACATACATAGGGGAGACTGGACGCCGTCTCTCGGACAGGTGTACCGAACACCTCCGAAACATTACACAAGATAAACAGTGTCCCGTCTCCAAACACTTCAATAGTAGCGACCACCGGGGCAAGGCGGACTTTTCAATAAGTGCGATTGTGGCTAGCACTAACACCGCCAGCCGGGTCAATTTGGAACACAGACTTATCCTGACTTACGGCACTTTGACGCCAGATGGGATTAATGTTATGTCTCTGTTCACAGCTTGACCCTAGCTCCGCCCCTCCACGTTCTGACCTATCACAGTGAACTTTTTTCTCCCCTCTTTTTTTCGCCGCTGCTTATTTAAACTCTCACTCATTTTCCTTCTGCCACACTTCTATTGCTGCCCACAGATACTACTTACCAGCTTAGTGCTATTTCTTATTTTTATAACGTTTTTTCTGTTGTTTTGTTCGCTGACGAAGGCTTTCTGCCGACACGTTCGCTGTTTTGTTACGTTTATTTTTTCAGGTTTAACCCTACTCTGTTTTACTCATTTTATTTTGTAATAACCCGATTGCAGTCTCTCCCCTTATTACCCCTATATTTTTTCTCTCTTGGGCCCTGTATTCTGAAAACTACAATTAATCTTACAATTACTTAAAGTTACTTTTCATAGCTCCGAGTTCCACCCAACAAAGTGCTTATGTACTGTATTTACCGTATGTAATATACGGATGGTTCGAAGTCAGATACCCGGATGTAGGGATTCCCCCAGATTTTGACCTAGTTAACAATGAAACAAACTAAAACTCTTGCAGCGCTCCCTGAGGTAACTAACTAACGCACATATTCTGGTGAAGGTCTGAGATTTCTCTCTCATGACCCCTGCTAGTACATTGGCTACCAGCTCCCTGAGGTATCTAACAACTAACGCACATATTCTGGCGAGGGTCTGAGAGAACTCTCTTATGACCCCTGCTATCACAATGGCTACCAGTAGTACCAGCTCATCTCCCCGAGGTAACTAACAACTAACACACGTATTCTGGCGAGGGTCTGAGAATACTCTCTTATGACCCCGGCTAGTACATTGGCTACCAGCTCCAGCTCCCTGAGGTAACTAACAACTAACGCACATATTCTGGCGACGGTCTGAGATTACTCTCTTATGACCCCTGCTAGCAAAATGGCTACCAGCTCCAGCGGCTTGAGGAAACTAAATGGTATAGATATATTTAAAGATTTGCTGACATCTTGGCAGAACTGTTGGTTACGTACAAGACTCGTTCACCAGCAGACAAATGCATTTCTTTAAGGCTCACACGGTGAACAAGGTAAATATGTTCTGCTTTATTTGAACAATCGTCAGCCTGTGACAGTGACCAAGTTATCTGGATTTTTAAAAAAAAAAAAAAAAAATGTCCTACTCAAATTTAGTTATTTAATTTCTGTCCTTTTTTTTTTTTTTAGATGACTTTGATCCATTCTCTATTACCCCTTTTAGCCCCACCCCTCACCCCACAAAACCAGCTTCCGTTTCCGTTCTTAGATTAGTTTCCAGCTACTTAGGTCCTTAAAATTAACTTCTTCTTCTTATATTCGAGGGACCCACGATCAATCTGTTGATCATTCTGGCTCCTGGTTTAAATTCAGAGTTTGCCTTCTCTTAGATGGGTTGCCGTCCAAGGCTAATGAGTCTCTTCCACCAGGGTTGCTTGGGATGTTGGCTTTGGTGGCGATTGAGCTCCAGACCACCAGCTGTTTGGTTTCAGACAGTTTAGACTAGCTTGACCACCCAGCACCCCACTACCTACTTCAACTAACCCCTTAGTGACCTTAGATAGTGATCATGAATGCTACAAATTACCATAACATAGTCATGATGGAAATTAAGACATAGTATAATAGTAGAAATTATAATAGTA